GTTCTCACCCATTGGAAGAGCCATACAGGAGTCTCGACAGCCATGGGCAGTCCTCATGATCCTGATGACCTTGACCTGAACTCTTACAGATTTATTTATAAGAATTTATTTTACTTTATTTTATTTTTAATTGTGATAAAATATGTAGAAGGTAAAATTGATCATCTTAACTCCTTCAAGTATATAGTTCAAAAGGATTCAATATGTTCCTCTTGTGGGGCAACCAACACCACCTTCGAGCTCCAGAATTTTTTTCATCTTCCAAAATTGAAACTCTGCCCACTGAGCAAGAATCTTGTTCTACTTTCCCCTGCCCTAGCCCCTGACAACCACTGTTCTATGTCTCTATGAATATGCCCATCTAGGCATCTCACGTAAATGGAACCATGCAATATTTGTCTTCTTGTGACTGGCTTGTTCATTTAGCATAACATCCTGGAGGTTCATCCATATCGTAGATGTGCCAAAGTTTCCTTCCTTTTAAAGACTCAACAGTTTTCTTTTGTGTGCATAGTCCTGACAGTGCTAACTAACCAGAGTGTCCCAGAGTCGTCGTGTTCCTGGTCATCAGTTTCCCCATCCCTCCAATGTCGGGGGTGAACTAGATCATGTGCACAGACTTTGCTCCCTCCTGCAGCCTTGGTTCTGGGAGCTAATGTGTTTCTTTTACTCTCGAATCTGGGTTTTGAGGGCCAGGAGTGTTATTGGTGGCTTTCTTGGGAGCCCACCTGCTGTGGATGTGACTGTGCAGGTGTAGGCTGTGGATCCTAGGGAAAGAGGCTCTGTTTTGTCCAAGCGGCACTTCTCCATCCTGCAGGTGGCCTATTCATCACTGAGTCACAGACCTTTTAGTTCCCTGCTTGACGCTTACATTGGAACAAAGCCTCACCCCTGGAGGCAAGAATCAGCCTGACCAAGTTGAGCCTGACTTTCTTGGGCTGGTCTGACAGGGGCAGGCTGCCCAGGGCAGATCCTGAGAACTGTGGTCCCTCCCAGGTCCCTGACAGGCCAAAGGTCCAGGCAAGCTCCCCTCAGACTTTTAGTACCTGCACCGCTCAGGCTGCCCAGCCTCTCCCAGTCCCTCCTCAAATGTGCCTCTTTTTAACATTCATTTTAAAATTAAAATTGTGTTTCTGATTTTTAAAAGATTTTATTTATTTATTCATGAGAAACACACAGAGAGAGAGAGGCAGAGACACAGGCAGAGGGAGAAGCAGGATCCCTGCAGGGAGCCCAGTGTGAGACTCGATCCCAGGACCACGCCCTGAGCCAAAGGCAGACACTCAACCACTGAGCCACCCAGGTGTCCCTGTGTTTTTGATTTTTAAATCACACTAGTTGTAGAAAAGCAAGAAAAATTCTAAATAGATGAAAATGTCCAGTATACCTACGCTTAGGACCTTCACCGTTCTTCATATGTGGTCTCCTCAAACATATGCTCCCTTTAGGAGCATGCTGGAGGGGGTCCCAGTCCTTGGATGGCACCGGCACTGGCACTGTCCCAGCATGTCCATGGCACTGGCACTGTCCCAGCAGAGCCTGCAGCTCCTTACCGAGCTGTGACTGGTGTCTGTATGTGGCTGTGTTGAATGAGGGCCAGTGGGAGAAGTGGACTTGGGATCTGACCCCCGTAACTTTCTGCATGTTCCCTGCTTCCAGAAATGGCATGAGGTTAGCAGCCCACCAGGGGTGTGGGGCTGTGACATGGGCTCTCAGAATTCCCTGTGTAAAGTTGGCATTTGTGATTTGTCCCTGCATATTGACCCTCAGTCAGAATTGAGGTGGGAGGCCACAGTTGTGTTTTAACCCCTATTACAGCGCTGGAGTACTGAAACACCATCAGAAAGTTCTGGTCCCACCTGAACAGTAAACCGGCAGACTTGGGCCAGTTACTCCTGGAGCTCAGTTTCCTTACCTGGAGAGTGGGGATGAGTAATGCACACCCCTCGGGGCGGCCAGGATGGTGACAAGGGGCCACTGTGGGTGCTGGTAAAGGTGAGCTTCCTTTTGTCTCTGAGCAGGCTTGGAAAGGAAGAGAGACATCCAGATGTGCTTGAGGAGAGAGGAAGGTGCCCTGCCCTGGCATGGAGACCCGTGTCCCCAGGAAGGGAGGTGGGAATATCCCAGTGGATGCTGCTGGGGCTGTCTCGTGAGGGCTGATCTTATAAGTGGGCGCTGGGGCCAGTGGCTCTCCTCGCCTGCCTGCCTTCCTCCGTACATACTTCCCAAGGGCCCAGCCTGTTTCAGGCACTGTGCCAGGTATTGAGGACAGAGTGGTGAATAACATAGGGAGATACTTGACCTCTTGGGAGTCTTCAGTCTCTTGGGGGGGTGGGTGGGTCGGGTGGAGGGAGACAGACCACAAACAAGTCAACAACCTGTCAGCAATCCCCTAGCATTGTGGCCGATGCTCTGGGGATTTGAGCAGAGTGGAATGTAACCAAGGAGCCAACTTTGGATGGGGAGGTCTTGAAGGACCCCCGAGGAGGTGATGATCTAAAGGAACCCTAAAGAGAGAGAGAGGTGTGAGGAGAACATTCCAAGGCAGAGGGTGGGGCTCGTCACCCACAGACCGAGCCTGGGGAAGGGTCCAAGCTGGGGAAGAATGTGCCTTCTTTTCAGACAGAGGGACACAATGCTCGAGGAGCAGGCCCCCTGCCTGGTGAGGTCCAGCTTGGCCATTTGCTATTCACTCCCAATCTCCTCATCTGCAAAAAGGGAACTCTGAGCAATACAGCTGCATGTAGGCTCTGCTGTGATGCTCTGTGAGCCTGTGGAAGCATCCTGGCCAGCACATGGGAAGGAGAGTGCAGTGTGAGCCTGGTCATGCAAGAGCTTAGCGGCTTAAAAGGAATTTGAATTCACTTGACAAATAGGGATTTTGGTCCCTTGGTACACCCAGTCTCCAGTGCTGCTTCCTCCAAAGCTGATGAGCACTTTCAGAAAGAGGTGAAGGACTGGCTTAGTGGTCCCCTTCCTGTCAGAAGGGGAGAAAGATCGGCTCATCCACGTGGTTTCAGGGGCCGTGGCTGACCCAGGTCTCAGGCCTTAGGGAAAGGCACTAAGTCCCAACTGTCCTTGGCAGGGCCAAGGTGTTCCATCTCCTGCTCCCCTGGTGGGCTCTGGCTCTGGAGTTGGCCCAGGATGACTGGGTGGGGAGGGGTGTGGAGGCTGCTGGGATGTGCATCTCCTGCAGGGATCACAAATGCAGGTCCATTGCTTGTTCTGTCTTGGGAGCTCAGAAAGTCTCTCAAAGCATGTCATGCTGACAGCTGAGTTTATCCACCTGGTCTGGGTGCGAAATCTGTGACTCCTGCCCCCAGACCTTCCTGTGATAGGCAGCTGGAGCCCATGGGTGTCCCTCAAGGACAGGGGTGGTACCAGCACTGCTGAGTACTGTTTACTTCTCCCCTCAGAGCTCAGATGGGCAACAGGACCACAAGATTCCATGGTCAGACTCTCCCCATCCTCCTCCACATTCACACACACACACACACACACACACACACACACACACACACACCATTCTTTGTTTGCTCCCATCTTAGGAATGGCACCTCCATTCATGTGGGTGCTCAGGCCCAAGCCTAGGCATCATGTGTGAATCCTTCCTTTCCATCACCTTCCTTGTGGTCCATGAGTGGTCTGTGCAAGCTATACCCTTCCCCATAAACTGGAATCTGGCCACCCCTCACCTCCTGCTCTCTAGCCATGTTGTGCCAGGCCACTCTCCCTAGGACTGCTCTACCCCACTGGCCTTCCCACCTGTCCCCGATGTAGGTAAGCTTGTGACACACTCTACTCCAATCTACTGAGGCTTCCTTGTATTGAATCCTGCTCAGGCTGCTGGGCAGCCTGGACTTGATGGCCTTGATCCATCTGCTCCATCTCTTCCCTGTAATCTTTGGCTTCCATCAGTCTGAACACCCTGCTGCTCCCTGAACAGGCAACTTCTCTTCCTATGTCCATGCCTTGCATTGCTCTCCTCCTTGGCTGCATGCTCTTTCTTAGACGTTCATGTGGCTGCCACTCTGACGAGTTGTGCTCAGGTCTCTGCTGAGCATTGTGTTCCATTCGTGTTTTCTGGAGCACGTATTACTGTCTACCTTTGTAGCAGCAATTCAAGGGCTCCGGTATACCTTTCCCCTAGAACTGTACTCTGTGAGGTTGGGACCTGCTGCCTTATTCCTGCTGATTGTCATTAGGGTGTAGAACAGGGCTGGGTACTCATGGGATAGTCGTTGAATAAATGCACAGTTGAGGATGACCCATGAAGAGGGACTTTCCTCAAATTGAGCCTGCATAGGGGTGGCTCACAGCATTCCCTGGCTGATTTATGTACTGCTGGCCAGCATGCTTGGGGCCAAGCACTTGCTCCCAAGCCCCACTCCATACAAGGGACCTATGCAAAGTGCTTTCCCAACTGATTGCTTCAGAGGTTCTTAAACCTCATTTCACCATGCCCTGAGGGTCTCAGTTAATTCTTCATGACTCTCTTGGGCCATAAGAAATACCCAAAAGTTTTGTTCATTAAATGGTTAGGTTCAAGCCACTCAGTAAGTATTAATGTCCCGACGACTTAGTAGCTGCCTGAAAAATGGCTGAGTTCCCTTCGTCTTCAGAGGTTGAAAATGTCCCTGCAGCATCCCTGTGAGTTGTCAAGGGGGCTTTGGCATATAGTCCGGTGAGTGTGGGATTTCTTTACTGGATCCTCATAACCATCCTGTGAGGTAAGTATCAGTATCAGTAAGTATCAGGCCACCCAGCTGGTGGGTGAGGGAAGCAGAATGGGTGAGGTCTCCCCTGTGCTCTGAGAATTCCTTGGGCTAACAGCTGGATCTCTTGTGCTGTGCATCTTTGGGGTCCTGAGCCCCTGTCCTGTCACCTCTCCTATATGGGTCCTGAACCAAACAGAATCAATTGGCCCCTTACCCTTAACTCGTGTCCCTGTAGACAGAATGTGGGCAGTGATGGCAGCCTGTTGCTTTTCCTCTTTTCAGGGGGCCCTCTGTGCTCTTGCTGTGTCCCGGACCCCATGGGGCTGTCGTTCCTTCCCACCTACGGCTGCCAGAGCAACCGCACAGCCAGCGTGGCTGCCCTGCGCATGAAGGCTCGGGAGCATTCGGAGGCCGTCCTGCAGTCGGCCAACCTCCTGCCCTCTGCCAGCAGCAGCCCCAACCCCGCGGCCAAGCCGGCGCCCCCTGATGGAAGCCAGGACAAGAATCCTTCTGCCAAGGAACAGAGTGTGGGGGAGAAGAGCGTATGA